TCCTCGAGAGCCTGACGAAGCTGATCTTCGGTATATTGAGGCATTATATATAGAAGAAGACATGTGCAAAAGATGAGCCCATTTGGACGCGAATTGAAAATGTTGTGATAAAAGGAGGTTGGGGGTGGGCATTGGGTTGTGGTGGATTTTCGCGTTTTTGTGGGTGCCAGAAACAGGGGGGTGCCAGGAAGTGGGTATGTTGACTTATAGCTAAACATTGGCTTCTACCTAGTAACACTGCAATGCCTAGGCAGCTGAGTGTCGTTTGATAGGAGCTTACGGATACATGCAAGGAAACCCTGACAGCATTAGAGATGCACGGGCGCTGCGGCCTCCGCAGCCTCGAGCCACGTGAGGAACGGGCTTGCGGGCACAGCCGGGGGAGCGTGGGAGACATCCAAGACAGGGTGGTCATCAAGCGGGGTCATCCCGCATCCCATGTTCCTGACCTTATCGCTGCATCATCAGTGGATGAGAGAGAGAGCCGGGTAGATTTAACAAATTGGGCTAGACTCTGTGACGCAAAATGGATCAAGGCTCAAGCTCTCGTCCGTATAATCTTTCCGGTTCCGGTGAGGGTGTGAAAGACGACGTCTTACCCTCCAGACTGTAACGCGCCGCATCATGCGGATGGTCAAACGGTAGCATAGAGGCGGCTGCTGGCTAAATCTACCAGATGCATCTACTCGACCCTGTGACTTGTGTTCTGAGCATCTTGATAGACCATAGTTGTGCTCGCGAGTTGCGAATACTTATCCCCTAGCCTCCAGCGACGAAAATGGACGTATCGGTGCTAAGTCATTTTGTATGACAGAGCAAAAGAATCTTCCGCAATGTCCTCCGCGATTGAACTCGGTGACCGTTATGCCGTCACAACAGTGCTTGGCATCGCCGCACTCACCAGTGCCTTCCTCTATCTCATAAGCAGTCTCATTGACAGCCGGAGGGTTTTCTCGAGGTTCAACCGCGCCCCGTCCTTCAGCCAGCCGGCCGAGAAGCCTTCCGTCACTACGGCCGAGAAACAGAGCTATGTGGACGCGTTCCCGCCGTCTCAAAGAGCAACAATTGCGGAGCTTGGACCACAATTCGCGGACGTCAAAGAGGTTGACCTCGCCGTGACGCCGAAGCCTCTGTTGAAAGTGGATGCCGACTACCGATCCGCCGACCCCTCTCTGTTCAACTTCAGTGGCTTCAGCATTGATGACATTCAGAAACTCGGCGACTTTCCAGACTATGCAACTATCTCAGGTGTTCCGTTGCCGTCGCCATTGGCAGATTTTGACATTGACAAGGCCGTCCCGCGGCCCTACCGACCGTTTAGATGGGCTTATCATCAGACCATGTGTAAGTCCCGCCAGGATTCTAGAAATCGTGCACTCAAACTCATATGAAGACTGCCAGCTTTAACCAAGATGGATACGGATTTCTGGATCGAGCTTGAAAACACATACAGGGAGCGCGTTGCCGAGCGCAAAGATCTGTACGCAAAGAATGGCAGTCATGTTCTCGATAGCATGCCCGGTTCCGAGCTCGCCTGCAAAGAACTTATGGAAATGGTCCTTCAGTTTATCTGCGCAAGATATCCCAATCAATTCAAGCTCGAGGGTAACATCTTGCACAACAACATTCTTGGGACAACGACATATCTCTCTGCCACTGAGCCACTGATTGTGCTCTTGGACAATGTCCCTGAGGACTTTGGAATCATGCTTCGAGATCACGAGACTGGAAAGTATGTTCTGAGAGCCGGAATAATATGCTCCTCTGTTGGCTGGAAACTCAGTGAAAAGGTGGGCTTGGGGCTGCCAGGCATACACAAAGTTGTCCCAGACTACAAAGAAAAGATGGAATTCAGCATGGATCGGTAAGACCCCAATCTGAGTGCGGTTGATGGTTCAATGTTCCTATCACTGACATAGCTCTAGATTCTTCACTAAGATGCCCACCAACAAACCCATTCAACGTGGTTCATGGGGTCTTGAGAAAGGCCAGCCGCTGTATCTTCCTTCCGAACACCCCGAATTTTCCCATCGCGAGCATCAAACTCCTAGCCTTCAGCCCGAAGAGGTTCACCTACGCGTCGACTGGCAGACCTTGCGCCGCCTCCCGTTGTCTGGCGGCGTTGTCTTCAATTTCAAAGCCCTGTTCACGCCATTAACTGAGTTCAAAAATGAGCCTTTTATTCCTTCTTTGGTTCTCAAAGTGTTGAACGAGGGTAAGGAGAGCCTCTTGAAATACAAAGGAACATGGCATGTAGAGCACGTGGTCAAGCCGACTTTGAAGGAGTATGAGAAGTATCAGGTTGAGAATGGCCTGATTGAGAAGGATTGGGAGCCGCAGACCTTAGCAGAAGCGCCTTTCTTCAAGGGCTGGGAGAAGAAATGGACTGTCCAATGATACAACATGTATTTCTACTACAACGCATAGCCGACATCTTTATGAGAATTAACAAAGTCTCAAGAGTCTCCAGATCACGCTGTCACAATTCTTTTATTGTCCAACTCATTGATCTAATTAAGAGAGACCTCGAGAAGGACCCCACCTTACAGGTAGGTTGGGGCTTGGAGCTGCTATCGAACTTAGTCGTGATATTGTTTGCTGGCTACATGTACAAGCTATTCCATGATGAGACCATCAGTAGTGCCATGCCGCGTGAGCCAAGAGCTACAGGTGGCTAACACGGGAGCGCGAGGTGACGTGGAGGTACATTCAGGTGAGTGGAATTCGTTACTAATGAAAACGACAGCAGATCAGCGGGAGCGAAGCGCGCTCGACGGGAAAGGAATAGCAGAATGCGGGGTACATGAAGCATTGAAGTGAGATTGAAACTCCTGTACGCGCATTACGCTCAAAAGACACGCAAACACCAAGAAGATGAAGGCTTACGTCGTGTGTTTTTCGCACATTGATGAGTTGGTCGGCCTCATTGGTATCGTGAGTTTCGGCCAGGGACCAGCCATGCCGGCCGAAGTCGGAGTATCTGAGAGACGCTTATGCAGTCACCCTATCACTCAGGTTCAAGCCACCCCGATAGAAATGATAATATGGAATGCGAAGAGAACGATGGCAGGAGTCTCCGAAAGTGCGAGGGCAGCATGGGAAACACGAAGAGGCGCTGGCTGGGCTTATCTTGGGCAAATTGGTCCTCCCGCGGCGGCCATCCCGGTACCGGGATAGATAAAGGACAATAGAGTGGCCATGATTGGGCTTTGAGCCTGCATAATGCGGGGTGAACCGGGGGCGATCGCCGCGTGTCTTGGTCTGGAACCCCTTGAATCCCTGGAATTCTTCTCCCACCCTTGGTCCCTTGGCTTTCTTATCGCCGCAGCGCCGAAAATCAAAGAGTCTGCGGGAATTCGGGATCAACATGGTCTCCCTTTTCCTTCTTCTTTCGGGCATTCTTGGTCTTCAGGCAGAAGGGCAAGTGGCCATATATGTAGCATTATACGAAGTTATACGAAAAGCATGACTCTGACTCACGTTCATAGTGTCTTGAGCTGAACCTCTAGCGGGTTGACCTTTACCTACTTCGTGTCACCGGAACGGGACCGCCGGAGTGACGACAGGCAGTGCATATCTGGATTGAAGTCTTCATAAGTTTTGTGAGCCTGGTTATCTGTATTCTCTAGATCCACAGGACCAGTTCTGCTCTTCAATCACAGTTCACATCAACGGTCCAGCATGACCTTACAGAATGCAATACGGCGAAGCTCTATGGCCAGTGAGAAGCAACCACGATAGATATCGAAGGCGAAACGAACATCAAGCGGCATCGGTCTGCCAGCTGTGCCGCTCTCCCGCTGCAAGGATGGCGGGCGGTTTGCTCCAACCCGTCTCATCCATCAAACATGCCCCTACCACCAATCATGAACGTCGCTAGCTTATCATGCGCCAGCCAAGATACCTTAAACTACAAATAGCGTCATAAGATGCCCTCCCCCGCGTTTATGGCACTGCCGCGACTGGGCCTGGGCTACCAGTATGAACCCTCATCCGATCGCGATGAACACCGACGACCGGTGACTCTCGGAACAAAAAAGTCCTTGTGGCCTGTTTCCATCCGTCCCTTGCTCAACGAACTCGAATTCGCGTCGAAACGACTTTGATCTGATATCCTATCGACTACCGCATTCAGCAATTCTCAACCGGACTTGGAAACCCCTCACTTATCGGAATAAAGTTCAATGGTACCCTCCAAGACTTCAAAGTCGGTATCCAAAACTAGAACTGGTCTCAATCCTCGGTCGAGATCGGGCTGTGTTACTTGCAAAGCCAAGCACGTACGTTGCTGCCACCCGTCTTATGCCTGTCCACTGAACCTCGATGAACGAGGATCTCACGGAAACGACCCCACATATGGTTGCTGACAAAATCCTGCGATAGTTGAAATGTGACGAGACGCGACCAGCTTGTCAACAGTGCACACGGAAGGGAATCAAGTGTGGAGGATTCGCGCAGGGCTTGAGATGGTCGTTCAAACATCAGCCCGCCCTTCAGGTTTTGACACTCGACGACTTCAACCCCCCTACGCAAACATCACCGAAACGACCAGCCGCCGACGCACCCGAGGGCCAGGCGCGCGCCAAAAAGCGAAACTCAGGTTCAGCGAGCAGCAGTAGTTCCCCAAGAAGTCGACATTCGATCTCTTCATCCTCTTCTAAGAGTTCAGCTCAGCGAGATGGGGCTGGAGAAAGGGATGAGGAGGCCAGTGGGGCTTATCAAATGAGCGATGGAGGAATTGATGAAATATCTCAACTTTTCGCGGAGGAACCCGTTTCACCTCGTCAACCATCTCTCGGTGTGATTGTTCAACAATCAGGCGCCTCAAGACCCGCAGATCAGACCCAGTTGGCTCCTTACTCACTATCGCCCAGTCTCGCCGACACCTCTTCGGCATTCATCATCAACTGGTTTGAGCAGGTGTGCCCAGCGTGGTCCGGCTTCGACTCGAACGCGAATCTGAATCGAAAGATCGCCATAGACCTCTGGAGAACCTCCGCCACGGTGTGCAGCTCTCTCGAGAGCATGTCCGCCGCGTTCCTGGCATCCCGACTCCCGAGCATGAGGCAATCCGCACTACGGCTCATGCAACGAGCGACAGACTTCATTCAAGCCGAGCTCCAGGTCGTGAAGGCACAAGGCGAATTCCGCTCCGTTCCAACGGGTCTCATATTCTCGCTCTTCTGCTTAGGGACAACGGTCTGCTGGGTCGACTCCCGCTTGTACGGGCTCCCATTCTTGAGAGAAGTGAGATCTCTCATCCGCCGGCTGAATGCGCAATCTGCGTCATTCTCTACCGCGAACCAAGACATGCTTTCGTTCTTCAATAAGAGCTTGGCGTACTGCGAGATGCTTCTCTCCGTGGTGCGCGATGATGAGCCGCTTGATCAAGGAGACGCAGACTTGGCGCTTCAGATCATCGAGGAGCGCTCACCCCACCCGTGGACCGGTGTCTCTACTCTAACAACACGCCTTTTCGCCGAGTCGATTCGGCTGTGTCGCAGCGCACGACATCGACTGAGGCAAGCGATGGATCCACAAAAGTACTTCTCAAATGCTCTTCAAGACTTGATAGGAGCCCAGCGTCTGGAGGAGCAGCTGTTGGAGCTTGAGTTCCCGTCGGAAACCCCGGATGTCGGCACGGGCGACAGCTCGACGCCGGTGTCCCACCTCGCTAGAGTTGCCGAAGCCTATCGACTCTCATCGCTGTTACACTTGTACCAGACCTTCCCTGACCTGGTCTCCCTACGACTGCCGGCCGAATCACCAATGACTGAGAGTGGCTCTGTGCCGTGGGACGAGTGGATCATTCCCCTGGCCTTGAGACTCGTCAAGGTCCTCGAACACATCCCGGCAACTTCGGGTACCCGCGTCATCCAGCCACTGCTGTACATCTCGGCGAGTACCGGACTTCGCCACGACGCACCAGCTACGTCTGATATGATGGGTGCTTTCGGGTCCCTGCAGCAAGACCTGATGGGAGGGACGGGGTCAAACATGTTCAGCCCTCCGCCGCTGTTTGATTCGCACAACTTGTCTCAGTACATTAGCCAGATGGCAGAGGCTCCGACGCGGGAGGGTTCAATGTCCAATATGACACTTGACGTTGGGAGTGCTCGCCACTTCGTCATGAGGCGCTTGAGTATCCTGGAGAGCAGCTTACCTCCGACCCCAGTCGTGGTAGCAAAGGATCTTGTCCAGTCCATCTGGAGGGCGTACGATAACGATATCGGATCGCCCACGGTTCACTGGATTGACGTGATGGAAGATAACGACTTACGTTCAATGTTTGGGTGATTAAAGGAGTTATGTTATGGAGCTCAGTTGGAAGACACCGCTCATTTGGATCATCTTATTGGAAAGGTCTAGAATGCGCAGGGCACAGGTCCGATTCTTTAGGCGTTGGGCTAGCCACGACACGGGCATAATGCAGGCTCTGGGATAACGGTCATTTGGGAATCATGTAGATTTACGATGAAATTGTTTATTCCTATTCGGTCATCTTCTATCTCGCCTCATCATCGTCTTGGGTCCATGTGTCATCGTTCTCATTATCTTCATCCACATCCCAACATCGATTCGCCCAACATCTCCTCAGAAGTCGCTCTTCTTGCGCTGACCAGCATAGAACGCCAGACCGTAGTCGCTGGTGGTGAAGGTAATCGTTGAGCCCTTGGGAAAGTGGAAGACATCGCCGGGCTTTGCCTCGACCTTCTGGCCCGTCTCGTCTGAGATCGTGTAGTCACCCTCAAGGATGATCTTCATCTCGTCGTACTTGTAGGTGTACGTAAGCGGTTCGCCCTTCTTCAAACGGAAGAGGCCGGATGAGATGGGTTTCTCTGGGTTCGACTCGTCGCTTGAGAAAACATCTCCGAGGTAAGCGTTGTCACCCGCGAGAAGGGGGATTTGGAAGGTTGATTGGGCCTTAGCGTAATGTTGGAAAGCGGCCATTGTGATGATCAATATTTGGTGCAATTCGTTGGGAAAATAGTGGTAAGTATGATGATGTCAAATCTTTATTGAGTGCGTGATGCTACCATGTTTCAACATTGCCCATTCACCTGGTATATATAGAGCTCTATTCATCAGTGTAAGAATGCTTCTTTAGGCAATACCCCAAATCTCTAAGAAAGGCTCTTCATTCTAGGCATTGGAGACATCCAGGAACAAGGTTCGGTTTCACTCCCGCGAGTTTGCCAAAGAAGGATCCCTAAGCATCGACTTGGAAGATAGGACGATAGGGTAAAATTTCCCGTTCCGGTAAAGCGCATCCCCCGTCCAACTCGGAACGGTCGAGTGGAGAATCGGTTCCCAGAGGGAGCCGATCTTGCGGGGACGAGTCTGGAGAAGAGATACGGGCGTGGGACGGGGTGCCGACCGGATAGCGGAACCAAACTCTTTACTGGAAGGTATTTCCTAATACGTAGCTGACTCGAAAAGTTGGCTGCAGTGATAATGCTCTGCAATTTCCTTCAATTCACCGGAGATCATCTTAGCCTCTGCAGTACCTCCTTCATATGTGCACCCCAACTATCCCCAGCATAGATAGGCCTCATCCAAACCTCGGGTGCCTTTTGTCCCCCTAACTGGGTACTAGTAGATTACCAAACTCCAGGTCACACAGAGTACCTCAACATGGCTCTATTAGCGTTATCGGAACTCCCCTCGGATGGTTGGAAACTTCTCATCGGGCTCTTCGCCCTCTTCTCAGCAGCCATACTCTCACGATCGCTTGGCGCGCGGCGACCGCGAAAAGGAGCCCTCTTCAACAAGACATCCTCTACAACACAATCTGAAAAGTCCAAACAAGCTTCAGAAACATGGCAGATGCCAATTCCCAGTCCCTACCCGGACTGGTCAGTAGAAACGACAAAGCCTCTGCCCTATCGCGCATTCCGTTACGGCCCCAAATATAACGTCACCATGGGCCTTCGTTCAGTCCAGCCTGAGGACTGGATTGAGCTGGACAACCACTATCCTCGATACCATGCCGACAAGACTGCTCGAATCGCTGAACGGGGCGAGAAGTGCTTCGGAACAGACCCGGAGGCCTATCCTGCAGCCATGGAGCTTCTAGAAGAATTGTGTCAGTATCTTCCTGCTCGCTATCCTACGATGTTCAAACGAACCGCTGTCGGCATCGACAATCTCTGGTCGGGGGAATCATTCAACATCGTCGAAACACCTCTCAAGGAAGACCCAGCCGCCATTGCCGCTAGGCTCGTGCAAGACGACCTCGCCATCATGATCGAACGGCCCGACGGCAAGTACTACTTGCTCAGCGGTTCCATCCTGCTGGCCGGCTTCTGGAGATTGAGCGACAAGTTTGGCATGTCCCTCGAGGAGATCCACACGTCTGGCGAGGTCCCCCACTACAAGGAAAAGCTGCACAACGGCATGGCCAGCTTCTTCAAGCGCCTGCGCTGCGACCAGATTTACTCCCGCAACAACTACTTTATCCAGGTGGATGACTCTTTGCCCTGGAGCTGGAGCATTGGTGAAGAAGACAGCCCAGTTGTCAGTTGGAGTACGGCTGAGAAAGATAGAGCGGTTGAGCATCACTATTTTCGTTCCGAGAGGCAATCGCTGCGCCGTCTTCCCAAGAGCAAGGCTATTGTCTTCACGATAAGAACGTACTTTCATCCAGTCACTGAGCTGGCTGCTGAGGACTACGTGCCTGGAAGACTCGCTAGTGCTGTTCGTAGCTGGGATGATACAGTTGCAAACTACAAGGGGCGTGAAATGTATGGGAAGGTATTGCTAGAGTACCTCGATAACGAACATCAGAAACAGCTGGATAGAGGTCTGGACTTGAGCAAAGAAGACGAAGTCCGGAGGTATCCCTGGTGAGCAGGTGTCGCTCTCAGTAGCCGCTCGCTATGGGATGGGGACTATCACTGTAAATGAGGAACTCTATGGCGACCCTCTTGGAGGGGATGTTTCTACACTATTATTCACTCTACTATTATACCTCAACTTCTAGAAATATTAACCCTGTATTCTTTCTAAAGAGTATATTTCGCTTGGGTTTATTCGCTCTTCTGTGCATGTCGGTTCTCTCTTTGACCATCTGATCCATCTAAAACTAATGGGAACACGGGCCTGGAGCTGAGCCCTGGGCAACGCTAGTGGTGATGTCCGGCCACTGTAGCCGCCGAAGGCCACCCGCTGGAGACCGCATTCTATGGTCGCGCACTCAAAACGATTTCAATTTGAATATGACGTTTGCGTTATTAAGCGCTGATTCTGACAGAACGATTACAACCTCCTCCCAATGGTAAGGTATTATGCCCTGCCTACCCCGTTAATGTATTTATGGTGAGATCAAGTTCAGATTAGGCAGGAATCTAGTCAACTTAATTAGTGTAGGCCATCGTAGTAAATTCTCTTTTCTGCACTTCAATCCCGGGGGCAGCGAATATTGAAGTGATCAAAGTTGACTTGCAGTGATGCACCAACCCTGTTACAGCGCAAAGACCCCACGGAAGTGCGATTGCAATCCCCTCCAGAGAAGAAATTGATAGTGCAATTACAACCTCCCCCAGCTGTTCGATCTGTTACCAGCCCACAAGCACCATTGATTGCCTCGAAGCACTCGCTAACCCCTGGTCGAGACGAATTCCCATGGCCCAGATTTTGTCCGGTACAGCTACCAGGTCGTCCTGCCCCAAGATATGCGGACGCTGCACAAAAGGCGGCCAATGACGTTTGGGTGAGTACCACGGCGACAATGATTACGGCGCTTTTCATGTTTAGAGACGTTATTGTTATTGTATAGTTGTCTGGCGGGTTTAGAGTTCAGTATTCAAGATAAATGTCATTCTATTCTAAGTCAAGGCGGAGACTTACTCGATTTCTCATGGATGTGCTTCTGGTGAATCTTACGAATTCTAAGAAAAGTCATCCAAAGTAGGCAGGATTCGTTGAAGACTATCGCGAACATCACATAGTTCGCGGGATGGCGTAATATATAGTGTGCGTACTGGACATATGCCATCTCGTCCCACGCGACGTGCTACAAGAACAGCAGACTTGAGCAAACATCTCTGTAACAAGGCAAACTCTGCGACTCGCCTGTGTACTTCCTTTTGGTCGAGATGCTATCCGAACTTGACAGTTGATAGTCGCACAATTCGGGCAGCAGACTGAGAGCAATCCACTAATTCATCTAACAGCAGTGGACAAGTTGACAACTCATTGGTCCTGCCATACGTCCTAGCTGACCGTGGCCGGCGTGTCCGAGCGATAGGTATGACAGACTGGAAGTGCGGCGGATTCGTACACGGCTCATGGCTTTCGAGGACAATCATCAATGGCTTGTATTTGATTACTTTTCTATGTCACACGTGCTCCGAGGTTCTTACAATCCACAACCCACATCACGAAGCGACATCGCTGGAAGTTTCTCCTACTGCAGCGAGGCGAAATCCGAACGGTGTCAAGTTACCTTAGCATTGTAATTGGCGCGCACTATCGGTCTTGAGAAACTCTCAATCCTTAGGCGCAGGAGCAGCCTCTGGGTCATCAGCTAACAGAGTCTCAACCTTTGCACCCCTTCTCAACCTTTCCTCCAAGGTTATCTCCTGCTCCGGCGAAGTGGACCAACCAAGACCCAGTTCGGGATATTGAAAAGGAACATCGCCATCGGATGGCAAGCTGTCAAGGTAAATAGGCCACGGAGTACCCATCCAGGCATTCCTTGTCTCATGATCTCGACGTTGACTCGATGTCAATGGGTGTACGAGGACACTAAGTTTTGAGCACATGTAAGCATCAAGACAGCATGACTACTTAAAGCAATTACTGATTCTGGTCTTACCTTAAGTTACCTCGGTTTGCCGCCAAGTAGAAAAAGACGTCAGAAAACGAGGAGTCGGGAACCCAGACTACATGCGAACTTTTGGTCAATCGAGCTCTTTGTCTCATACCTACATGCAGATGAACTTTGGCACTACTCACTCTCATAAGATCCCGCTGGGTGTGGTCCGATAGGAAATTCGTTGACCCTGAATAGTGGGACAGCAACGAACGCGCCTAACCGTGGGTATCAGCAATGATTCAAACAATCTCGTCCAGGTGAGAGTCGTCTTTCAAACCTACCGTCGCGTCGCAATCTCAAAACAGCATCACGAAGAGCAAGGGCAGCAGAAGTCTCAGTCGGGGACTGTAGGAGGAAGTAAATGTGGAAATGCCATTCCCGAGTCCGAGCTTCGACCACCGTCTTCAGATCCGTCTGCGGGGTCGGAGGCGTAGATTGGGTAACCATGGTCATGATGAGGCGCTGCGAGATGTTCTTG